CGGCTGCGCTTTTTCATCTCCTCGACAACTTTTGCCCCCAGCGTCACGCAACCGTTTTTATCGACGCCGGCCCTCTCTCCTCCTCTCTCAGGTAAACACATATATCCTCAGCGAGCAGGTTAAACGTGTGTGGTGGACACGTATCCCTCTCTGGTTTTACAGCTTTGGATGTTTATTACTCCGGTTGCACTCCCACGGGTCTATGGCTACATGTCCGCTCTGATGCACGTATGAATAAGTGGATCAACACATAAGCAAATGCTTTGCTGTAAGGAAACCCTTATTGCCACATGTCATACTATATGCGGTGAAGTCTGAGATCTCAGAGCGAAGCAGCAATCTTTGTCTGTGCGCCCTTCGCATATCTGGAGCCCTTTCATCGTATCTACTTCACATTTAGTGGGTGTACTGCTGGGCACTCAAGGACGCGCAGTGTTGAACCTGGAGAAATTGAGTCAACAGAACTCTCCTTCACTTCCCTGGAGTATTGCCCATACATTTTTTCCTACATGTCTTTTTTAATGCCGTTGACGTAGGACAAAGGTAGAGAGAAAATCTCTCTAACCGTATATGACGGTTAGCGACAGTGTTTAATAGTGCCACCGATGGACAGTACAAAAATATAATGGCTTGTGTGTGTCAGACTTCAGCGCACAGGTAATACAGCGTAGACAGCTGTTGTGAAAGTCTGTCAGAAGCAGAACTGTCAATCATCCCCTCTACCCTCCTCATTACTCTGTCTGTCTTCACACACACACGTTATCATGCCTGTGGGGGGCTTCATGACTCCTAATCCTTTCTGCACCTTTCCTCCACCGAGATCTCCCCTCCAGCTGACGTCATTCATTTCACTTTACGTCTCTCACTTTATTCGTTTTCCATTCGGACGCCCTCTCTCCATCTCTCTCTCTCTCTCTCTCTCTCTCTCTCTCTCTGTTTCATGGCTGTCTCCCCCTTGCTGTGGTAGGCTGAGATGGTAGATGATTCATTGCAGATTTCGCTACTCTGCAGATGATTTATCTGCCCACAAAGAAGAAAATGATGGAGATGTGTGTGTGTGTGTGTGTGTGTGTGTGTGTGTGTGTGTGTGTGTGTGTGTGTGTCGGGGGTGCAAGCGGCATTAAAGAAAAAGGATTGAAAGATGAAGGAGACGTGGAGGAGAAGAGGGGAGGGGAAACCAACCTGCTGGCATTATACTCTTTCAATGAATAAAAAAAAAAAAATTAATTCATCAAGGTCATTGTCACAGCGACCAACTTTATAGCAAAGTGTCACATATCGAACATCTGCTGCAACTATCACACCAGCAGGGCTTGGAAGTCGTTAGGAGGAGAAGGAACAAGGAAAGAAAGATGAGAGAGGAGAAGACAATGAAGAAAAGGAGGGAGGAAGGATGACAAGAGCAAAGAAATAGGGAAATGAGAGGCAGGAAGAAGTGGGAGGACGGGAGAAAGAAGATGAGATAAACAGGGAGGAGAGGAGGAAAATGAGGACGAAAGAAAAAGGAGAAGCAAAGGCCAGACGGTCCAGACATCTCGCGGAAACACCCGAGGAAGGAGACAGCAAAAGGAGGGATGGAAGGAGGGAGCGCTTTGACAAGGCAGCAGAAGCAGGGCCTGATGGATGGGAGGTTGGGATGGAGGTCGGGAGACAACGTTTGATGTTCGGAAGGAGGGAGAGAGCGCTGCTAGGGATGCGGGGGGAGGCAGGGAGAGGATGCTGAGAGAAGCAGCCAGGAGGGAATTTATTGCAATTATTACACTTGATGGACTCAGTGAAGCTGCACTCCGTACACGCTGTCTGGCTCCTGTTTGTGTGTGGAAGCATGCAGCCAAACACACACGGCAATTTAACGTTTATGGGGGAGGGGAGGACACGCAGAGCGAGACGAGGTGGAGGGAGGGTCGGGGGAAACGGAGGAAGGTAGTCTGAGTCCTGTCTGGCTACAACAGGGCCTCCTTCTCAAGCCGCTACTCTTCTCCCACCATTTCCCTCCCAGACAAGAAAGGAAAGCGCAGAGGGGAGTTTTCTGTGAGTAAACCAGGACCTCAACACGCGCTTGTCTCCCTGGTGAAATGTGCCGTAATGAGACACAACGCCGGCGGGTCATCCGCTGTGGGTAACGGCGTCATGGTCGACATCATGGTGAAGGCATCACGGCCGGAGGTTTGTAGATTCAAACTAAAAAGTAAGCGCTGCAAAAATCAGTTGACTGTTACACCATCGACGGACCTAACGTGGCGTCTACCTACCATATGTACCTGCACCACGCAGTACACAGTAGACACAGCCACCAAACGCTTTGGGGATGCCCTCAACACAAGGGCGTCTCTCTGATGTCACCACAGACCACCGGGACCCAGCCCGGCACTACTGGTACAAATCACTGCTTGGTGAGTCTTCCTAAATTGACAACTAATATTCCTGTAATGTTACACATTTTGGGCATGTTTCACGGCTATGGCGGCAAATCACTGTCAAAATTAGAGAGCGCAAATCAGGTTGATGCTTGTGAGCAAATGTCCGTGTAGCGTGGTCCGTGTACCTTTTGATAGGCGCAGCTTTATAGTATAGCATCGTCTGCTTGAACCCAAAAACCCTTCATTTTTTGCTCTCTATTGAAATAGCACCTCAACTATTGGCCCTGATGTTAGCGTAGAGCGTATTACGATTCATTTAGTCCACACTGGTGAACAACCAAACACGCTCTTAAACCGTGCACAATAAATCACATAAAAATATTTCACAAGTGCTGAAGCACTTGTGGCAGCCTCTGCTTCACCCCAGAGCCAGCCAGCCAGAGCCAGCCAGCCAGAGCCAGCCAGCCAGCCAGCCAGTCAGCCAGAGTCAGCCAGCCAGAGCCAGCCAGCCAGCCAGCCAGCCAGCCAGAGCCAGCCAGCCAGCATGTCCTGGAGCCGCAGTCTCTGTGTGTGTGTGTGTTGCCTTTTTGTTCTGGCCCGCCAAGGAGGGCTCATAATAAAGGGCGATAGAAGGGGGACAAAATCTTTGAGACCCCAGGAATAAAATGGGAGCAAAAGAGGGAGTAAAAGAAAGGAGGGGTGTAATGGAGAGACTGGGTACCTCTTTCACATCTCGCTGTGGGCTCGCCCCGCCGATGATCCTGTCCGCTGAGCATACGTGTGTGTCTGTGTGTGTGTGTGTGTGTGTGTGTGCGCGCGTGCGCGGGTGGCGCCACATCCGACAGGTGCTTGATATTAAATCCTGCTACCTGACACACTGTCGTCTGCCAGACCCACAAAACGCTCACGCAGCGCGTCTTCAGATCAGAGACGCTTCATCCCCGGGTGGGCAGCGTGAAAGATGACTTTGATGATGAGTGTACATTCCCCTGCCTTGAGTTTATTCAGTAGATGTGTGAGTGTGTGTGTGTGTGTGAAAGTGGACTGAAAGTCACCTTCGCGTGTGTCCCCCCTGCTTGTTAATCAGCTATTGATCAGCCAGGACAGCAGAACTCCCTTGATTTTCACAGCGGATCAAAGATTCTTTGGGAAAAACCTACAGGCGCGTGACCAAGGAGAAACCCCGGCCTCTCGGGGTGAATTCAATTAACCCCGAGAGTTGGATGAAACATTCATGACTGCGTTAGCGATCTGAGATCTGGCGTTAGGCAGTGACCATCTGAGGGGATCCTGATCACCTCCTTTCCTCTCTTCCCCCCGCTGGCGTGCCCTTTGCCGTCTGCTTTGTCTTTTGGCAGTTTGTGGGCACTTTTCTTGAGAAAAGACAAACCGTCCCACTCCTTTCCCACAGTATGGCACGTGTTCCCTGTCAAGGTACGGACACACCGCTACAGGGTGCATCCAGCACTACTGGTGACACAAGGACCAGTTTTCCCTAGAAGACACATATTTGTCCTCTCACAGTAACGTGCAGCATGGTTTAGCACATTACAGGGCTGATGAAATACATCCGCCAACAACTGCTTTTACCCCTATAATTCAAACTATATTGACATCGATTTTTTTCTGTACAAGTAAAGAACATAAATTATGGCTCCTTGTTGTCTTTGAGTGGTTGGAGTGCGCAAAAACTTTAGTCAAGAATTATAACACGGTGAAGATGAATCATGTCCAACTGGGGACCTACGAAAAAATATCAAGTTTACTGTTTTAAGCCTCAATCTTTGATTTGGCGAGTGAGGGAGATGTGAGAATAAAGATGACCGTGGATCTGTTCCTCTTCCCTCCTCACATTATTTTTTCCACACGTCTGTGCTAATCTAAAAGTATTTCCGCGCCGCTGAGGGCCTGAGATTCGATATGCAGCATTAGTTGTTTCTGGCGATTCCTTTTTTCACACTTCTCCCGCCCTTCGGCAAATTGCTACCTCTCCCCTCTTTCTGCTCTCTTCCTCCCAGAGCCTCGTCATGCTTTAATCCTTTGAAGAACTATCACCTCCTGCTTTGATTTAAACAACGCTGCCTGACCTTTGACCCCTTGTTGTCTACGTCTCTACCTCCCACCCCTTTTCTATCCCCCTTCTTTCATGTTTCATCTCTGATTTGAAAAAACAAATCAATTACATAAAGGGCCTTGTGTGTTTGACTTTGCGAGCAGCTGGTCTGTTTGTGTGTCTATTGAGTGGCTTTTGTCATGTTTATTACGGGACAGTTATGGAATATAACAGAGTACACTGAACATCTGCAAAGCTGCAGCGATAACCAACTCCCACCGTTGACCACCTGGCTGACTTGCCGGACCAAAGGCCCCCCAGGGGGGAGAGGGAGAAGAGCTCAGATGGAAGCTGAGCTAACCAAGCTAGGTCCTGGGGCAAGCGTGTTTTGTTTTGTTTGTCATGTGTTGCTATCATTTCATTTAGTTTTGCATAGTTTTGTGTTGCTTAACAATTCATAATCCTTGAATCCCAGATATTTTAAATACTAGTGGTCACGGCTTTGATTGATCTTCACCGATCTACATCACGGGATCCTTTTTCTGTCTGAGTTCAGTCAGTGTCCTTCCGGAGCGGACGTGCCTCACCTCTGCAGTCAAAGACCCCTGGACGCCTTCCTCTTCCTCCGCTTCAGTAATGAGCGGCTGAACCCTCGGCTCTGTCAAGGTGGCTCCTGGACTGGATGAATCACATATTAAAGAAAAACGATTAGGGGGGAGGAATGCTTCAGAGATGTCTAGCGTCTCTGCAGATCTGTTCCCCCCGAAGGGCAGAAATGCATCATATTCATGAAAGATAACCAAGAGGGGAGAAGGATTGCTATCAGGCGTTTCCCCGAGTCGCGTACGCCTTCGACAGGTTCAAGTGTAGATCTGATAGGGCCGGGCCGGGAAGCCAGAGAGACGCCTTCGCAAATCAATGTGGTCACGAAAGGCTCGCAGCGCGGAGACGGGCCTCCATACAGTAATCGTGTGTTTGGAAGCGGTAGTGAAATGAGCAGGTTTCCACCGCCCCGCTGTTATCAGAGGATTCAGGCAGCCAGATGCACGAATGTGGCTTGGGTTGGGAAACAGACACAACGAGTTGTGTGTGTTTGTGCCTGTGTGTGTGCCCTGAAAACACTATGAAGAAAAGTTTGGTTTCAGAATTGACGAGCTGTTCTGCTTCAAATGTCCCGCCGTACAAAACAGATTGTGCATTTTGTCTGATCTTTTAAGCACAATATTATATTAATATTTTGAATGGGGGCGTAGGGTTGAAACCTCCAGATCCTGCATACAACCAGGATGTGCAAAAGGTTTGAACGGAAAGTTAAAACGATGGCGTTAATATATATAATATGTTTTGTATTTCAAAAAGATCTCTTGATTTATTCCCTCAGTTCATGTCTTCTTTAAAACAGCATTTTTCTTTATTCAGTAAAGGCTGGTCCATTTAGAGTCACAGACCATAGAGCAGGCTACCTTGTGATGGACACGTCGCTACTGTAGCTGAGAGTTGTCGTGCTTTGTCTTAGAACTTTAACCCTTTCACATGTGTTGATATTTCATTAGGAATAATTGTAAAAATCAGCATTCGGTTGTATTTAGCTTCACCCTCTCGTCACTAAGACCAGTACTTCTATACAGGCTCAGTCCCTGGTTTTAAAAGTAGGTACGTGGAAAGAACATGCAAACTCCACACAGAATGGCTGCTAGGTGGTTTGGAACTCAGGACCTTCTTGCTGTGAGGCGAGAGCGATAACCACCACACCACCCTTGTGATTCATATTTTATTTCATTTTGCTGTGTCTGCATGTGCCGGGTCCACTGTACATCTGTTGATTCTCGATTACCATTTGGCGCTTTTCTGCAAACGGTGCAATTTCCCAGTGGATATGATTCATAATTTCTTTCATATCTCATCTACATGCTACGCCACGTTTCCCTTCAAATCTCCAATAGCAATTTGTTTTCAATTGCAGCCGCAATTCATTGAACAAAGAAGCTCACAACAAAGAAGGGATTCATACTAAGGTACGCCGATATTGATATGATCCTGAATTCTACTATGCCATGTATTAGTTCTTTTTTCTCTCTACAGATCAGCGTGGTTGACATGCACTGTCCCCGGGTTCGCTCTGACAAGAGGAGGACGGGGAGACGGCGCCTGAAGGGGATTCGGCATTCCGGAGAATGAAGCTAAAATAAACTATGCTGGTTGGGGATTGAGGAACTATTTCATTTCTGCGGTTCTCAAGAGATGAACACACAGTTTCACGTTTTTGCGTGTTAACCACCATGAGAAGAGCTGATGAATGGCCTTTTTCACAGCATGTCCCACAAGAATGTGCGAGAACAATAAAAACAACGCAAACCACTGATGATGTATGCGAGAACGACCTTGGCTCGTCCAGAACAAATCTTTAACGCGAACCTCTTGAAAAGAATAATCTATAGGGTTGATTTAATCTCTGCGAAGGGGACCGATTGTTAATGCTTAAAGGGACAATGTGAGAAAAGTCACACATTTGTGAGATTGTAAAGTCATTGATCTATAAGGAAAACATATAAACCATGGTATTACCCATGATTCTCCCATCACACCTCGCTCCAACAGTGCTGCCAGTCCTGATCCAAAAGATCTCATTATTTCAGCACCGGCTCACTGCAGACATATCGGTATCAGTGTATGTCAGTGTAAGTCAGCCAATGAAGAGGCTTGCATTGCCAAACTCATCTCCACGTGGCTGTGCCCGCACTTAAGGATGGTCCGGCTGCACCCATTAGGTCAGAGCTTGTTTGTTTCTCTATTTAAACGGATCACAATGGGTGGCGCTCAGCACAGGAAGCAGCGGTGTGCCCATGTAATGTACACAGCCAATGACAGGTTATTAAAAACCTCTGGAGACCAGCCTCTGTTTTGGCCTTTGCTCCGAAAATGACACACCCATTGATAAAAAGTGTAATAACTCTGCTCGCGTGTCCAAAGGGCCAGCGGAGACTCGCCAATAATGAACAATGAACGTGGGTCGTCGTGGCGCAGGGGTTAGAGAAGCTGTGCTGGGAAGCAAGGTTGGTGGTTCGAGTCCAGGCTGCCCCATGTTCCATGTCGAAGTGTCCCTGAGCAAGACACCTAACCCCTAATTGCTCCCCGGGCAAAAATGTGAAAAAGCCGTGGGTTTAAAGTGTAATGTAAGTCGCTTTGGATAAAGGCGTCTGCTAAATGACCTGTAATGTAACAAGAAATTGCAGCTCAGAACTGCTAAACTAGGTTTGAGGTCATCAAACAGTTTGTCCACCAGAAATCCCAAACAAGCAGGTGTTTAAGTTGAAAGAAAGTGGGATAATTCTGAGAACAGGAGGTACAAAGCCGACCTGCAGCGTACTGAACTGAGTTACAAGTCAGCTGGTAGCAGAAACAGATGACATCACATTTACTGCGTCTGTCCACTATGTTTGTCAAATTGTTGTAAAAGGCCCCCCAAAAAGGAGAAATGATGCCCATCAACCAATGGGCGGATAATATCACAGTCGTCCCACCTACTCAGAAAACTGGTTTGAGTTTGTGACTCACAAATAGGAGCTAAATCCACTGGTCAATCTATTTTTTCAATAATTTATCATCAACTCATACACATTATGTGAACAATAAAGGGTGTTTAGGGACAAAGAAATATCAGTGTAGCTCAATTAAGTGTTCATTGGATCTGGATCAGCAATTCTGTTATTAATGGTGCTCTATAATAATGAAAGAAAGTTGATTGATGACATGGTGCAATCGATTAATTTAAAATATCCATTGATTAAAAATACACACAAACTATTTTCATTCAGCGTGTCAAATGACAGACTTATTATTCACTAATGATTTCTTTGAAACATCGACGGACAGCCAGTAAAACAGGCTGTCCGTCGCGAGGCCATCAAGTGTCTCCTGTGTTCGTGCAGACAGCAGCGAGCGGAGCTGCCTGCACTGATAACACCAACCATCTGTTGGACGCCGACGCCAACGACTCTGTCTCCTCACACACCTCCTCCTCTCTGCGGCTTTTCCCCTCTGACTGCCTTCTTCGTTCTCTCTACTGCCCCCTCTATATCTAATGAGGCTTCTCTCCATGTGTGGCACCTTCATTCCTTCCTTCTTTTAATAATCATTTTTCTCCCTTTCCTCTCTCTATGTTCCAGGCCGGAAAGAAGAGTGAGGTTGTGTTTTGGCAAAGAAAGACCTACTGGTGTGAAAAGTAATGACAATGCCAGAGTGTCTTACACTTGATTTTGTAGTTTCCGCCCCTTTGCAAAGTATTCCTAAACACAGGGGAAAACGTCATGGGGTCAAGGAAAGATGGTTGGGAGAATTTATGAGGATTTAGGAAAAGAAAACTGGGGTGTATTGGGAAATTTGACTCCACTTCCACTAAGCTCCGTAGTTCTGCTGGGGGAAGATGCATGTTAATGGCGTCAGTCAGGCGGAGAAGCTACAAGTTCCCTGAAAATGGAGCACAAAGAAGCATCTTAGATTCATGCAGTCCATGCGTTCCAACATTGCTCTGTCATGCAGACCACATAAAACAAGTGTTACTTCATTAACATGGTTGCTGTATAAATGAGTTATGCCAACAGTGACTTGCATTATCTGCATTTCATGATCATGATCGTTATTTCAAATCACAAATAATTTGTATTGTAATTATAATTGGAATTGTCGTCTTCCCTTTCGTTAAGGATGGTCCAGTGGTTTCTATGCTAAAGTAGCATAGAAAAGTAGGGAAGCATTAAAGCACAAACAGTTCTCATCATGGCGGCAACTTACACTACGTCCGGGTCATTTCACACAGGAACCTTCCAAATTTGACAATTCAAACCCAGCCTCCCTCTTCGCAGCAGAACTGGAGCACCTCATTCAAAGTACATATACACAATGCATTGTGGGGCAGTTGAGTGGCTCACGTCTGATACCCGGAAATTCTTACTGTTGAAGTACGACTGGTTAAAAAATATAACTGGAAAAAAGTTGTCGATTAAAGCCTAGTTTATGCTTCTGACTGAGACTAAGAAGAGATGATAGACGTTGGTTGATTATGGAAAACCTCAAGACTGTCGACTTTGCACAAATTCACAAACCTAAACTACATGAGTGTGGGATCCTGTTTTGCTTACTATGCACACCTGACAGCACCGTCCCAATCCCACAATGAACATATTGTGCGATATAGTTTGCAGTTATGTTCGATGGAACGCATAGTGTTTGTGTGTGTAAGAATAGGAACAATTCTCAGGGTTTGATTACAGACTGATAGTAACTCCTGTCAACTCGTCAGCAGACAACAGAGGCAAGAGTGTGTGTGTGTGTGTGTGTGTGTGTGTGTGTGTGTGTGTGTATAAGTGTCTGTTTGATAAGAGAAATAAGAGATCTAAAAGACTTTCTAAGTTCTCCGTCCCTTTGCCTGTATGTTGGGTATATCTTGTTGTTTACAGTCAGTGTGGTGTCTTCTGTCTGACCTTATGCAGCACAATTATACAGGTTACCAACACAATAACCTGTTTTTTAAATATATATATGCTTTTGGTATTTTAAGGCATCTCTTGAAAGAAAATGAATTAACAACAACCAGGCTATTTACACACTCTTAATTAAATAAAATTATTAAAAAAACAAAAAATGACTGACGGGAAATTACCTGGATAATAAGACTAATGCAAAAGCTAATGTATTACTGTCATAAAAGGAGACGTCAACGTCTGATGAAAGTGGGCCTGCAAAGACAGCTGGTTCGATCCAAAGAGAAGGTTATCTGTTCCGTCAGACCCAAAGATGGACGAGTCCTGTGTTGCGTGCAGCTTTATGCGGCTGTGTTTAGACACAACGGTTCTGTGAGCCAAATGCTAACGTAAGGACACTAACGTGACTCACAGTGACAGAGCTGCCAACTCTCACTGTTTCGCCGTGTGACACACACTTTTGCATGTTTTCACACGCACTCAGCCCACACATCCAATATCTCCCAAAAAAACGGACCTTGAGCCGCGTTCGTTCCTCTTCAACCTCCCCGACGGTAGGTGGCGCCCCCCCTGTCGGCCGTATGGTCACCCCCGACCAAATCTCACTCCAAGGTTTTTGGAAAAGTATAAGTATATATATACATACACACATGTTGTTAATAAATCAGCCGCTCCACAAGTCTCCATCCAAACAAAAAATAATTTCAACTCTTCTGCAATCAGTACACCTGTATTTCTTATTCATAAAACACATGAGGAAATAAAATATTGTATTTTATAAATTCATGATCTTACCCGTTGTCTCTAATTTGTTATTCATAATATCTTTGTTATTAAAACTCAATTCAAAATTGATCATTTCTGGCATGTTCGATCTGCAGAAAACAGAGGTTTGCTTTTTGTTGTTTTTTCTACCTCAGACAACATGAAGACAAGAATCAGAATCAGATCATTGCATATCCAGATGTGTCTGAATGCATTATGTTTTCTCTCATCTGCGGCACAACAAAGAGACTTCATACACTCGCTCAGTGAAATGCACAGGTTTCTGCTACATCTGTTCTTACTCTTGTTAAAGGAGCTGGGAGACGTAGCTACGAGGTAGAACAGTGGATCAAAGTGACTTACGGTAAATGATGATATTTATAACAACATTGAGTGGGTGTTTATTCTAACCCTCCAGGATTGACAGTATCTGTTCCTGTAATAATTAAGTGTTGATTAAAACTGCTGATTGAGGAAAGGTAAAGGGTTCAGTTTCAACTTTTTTTTAGTTGTTGAGTGCTCCAGTTTCAACTTTTAATAATTAAGTCTATTTGTTTTGGAATTTTAGCATTTAAGATTTGATTTGCTTTTCTGACATATTACCAGCCTTTTGCTGTGTTCACACCAAATGTGAAGCCGACAAAATTTAATGCAAAGAGGCAACTGGTCACGAGTAGACACAAAACCACAAAAGCGTTAAACAATGTCCGGTTTTAAGTTCATACGGTTTGCTCTTCCACTGTAACACAAAAGCCCTGGATGATCAGCAGCCTACAAAAATGGAAAGTTAAATGCCCTGAATTCAGAAAAACACCAAAAGATTAATTTGTTTTATTTATTAATCCAAAAGAATATGTGCACGCACACATGTGTGTACATGCACACAAACACACCACTTCTGCTCTTAAATGATCAGCCTCAGAATACGAATACATTTGCCGGCAGGTCATGGCGATCGGGCTTATCAAGTTAAAGGAAATCTTATCAGTGTAGCTGTGAAAATGAACTGGCGTTGCTTTGTGCAGCCGCAGCATATTTCGGGAAATGCGGAAGCCTGTAATCTGGTTGTGCACAGGAGGGGACGATATGGATTTATCTTCAAAACGTCCCTATGACTGAGAAGGAGTGGAACCAGGTGTGCAGCTCTGGATGCAGTTGCGTCAGTATAAGAACTAAACAGTTGAGTGTTTCAGGCGGACATACAAATAACAGATTTGCAAAAATTTGTAAAAAAAACAGTTTTCACTTTGTCATTATGGGAAGTTGTGTGTAGAATGTTGAGGAAAATAATGAATTTAAACCACCATTTAAAGACTGGAAATGAAAAGTGGCATTATGAAATAAAAGTACCATTAAATAATTAAATGTATTTAATATTTATGTATTTATTGCATTATGAAATAAAAGTACCATGAAATAATTAAATGTATTTAATATTTATGTATTTATTGCCTCATTTATTTATTTCATGATGTATTTCAAATGCATATTTCATGTATTTACGTATTTATTCATTTATTTAATTTTGACTAAAACGGCATTCCATAGTAACATAACAAAATATGGAAAAAGTGAAGCGCTGTGAATACTTTCCGGATGCACTGTATAGTAATAATAATAATAACTCATTTGTAAAGCACCTTTCAAAGCAGGGTTAAAAGTTCTTAAAAATACAACCCCAACGAGGGTTTAGGGGAGGACGAGGACAGACGACGATCACCGGCAGGAGATACCGGCCCAACCGATCATGGCGCTGGGCCAGATGATCGGCGATCGGCGAGCCATCCAGCGCGACCAGCGGAGGCTAACCGGAGGGGTGCAGGCCGTAATGGAGACGGACACGCAGTCATCCTCCCTCTGTGGAGACTTACTATAAGTTCAACCCGCCCCCCTCACCTATGTGTGAGATGAGATGAGAGCGATGAGGTGGGAGAGATGTGAAAGATGTGACACATGTAAGAGATGAGATGTCAGGGATGTGAGATGTGAGAGGTGAGAGATGTGAGACACACTGTGCTGTCATCTTGCCAAAGACACACCTACAACACACACACGCACGCACTTTCTCACACACATACACTAGCTAATGCATTGAAGGTCAGATTTCTCATCAGCGTCCTGTCTGAATGTGTAGACCACAGTGAAAACCGCACAGCATGGACACACGGTCCTGTCTGTACCGCTGGAGGGGCCGATGTTGCTATGAGTAGGGAACACAACATTTACAACATTACACTGATAACATCCACTTGGAGTCAAATTTTGCACTTGGAGAAAGTTGCATTTTGTCGTAGAAATGTTGCCATATAAGACTTTAGTAAGTAGAAAGAATAATAGCCTAAGATTCTTGGGAGTGTCTCTCGGTGAAGTTACGCTGACAGGAGGTCGTATCAGGATGAACTCACAGCAACGACGGTCTTCGCTCGTTCTTCTTCTACTTCGTGCTTGATCGGATAGGCCAATGCTATATTTGTGCATCTAGCTAAGCTAGATAGATAGCCAAAGGTAAGCAACGTGTTGTGTGAGATGAGAGGTGCAGTTCACTGAGCGCACTCATACAAAAGTAAATCCATCCATCAAATCGCTTATCCTGCACACAGGGTCGCGGGGGGGCTGGAGTCTACCCCAGGTAACATCAGGCGAGAGATGGGGTAAACCCTGGATTGATCGCCAGCCAATCGCAGGGCTAACCTTAACCCTAACCCTAAGTAAATCCGATTTTCATAATCTACCACAAACAGACAAGTCATATAAATGTCACGGCACGATAATACATGTATTTGTTTCTTGCCATTGATTTCAGGGCATGGATTTTCTTTTGAGGATAACTTAAAAGAAAGCAGAGGTCCTCTACGTTACAGCTGGCCCTTCAAGTCACACATGGCAGGTCATAGTTCGGGGCTTTGTGAATGTGAAGGAAGATACAGGCTTCCCTTCAGAAGACAGGAATGTGTAATTTACCAAATACAACAAAAATAGTTCCAACTCTACCGAAGTCACCCGTCAAAAGCTCTAAATACTATCTTTATTTTGTCGTGCTCATCTTCCGATGCTATTTGCAAAAAACACTGAAGCATAAAATATTGTATATTGATTTTAGTGCTGGAGTGAAGGTAAACAAGTTACAATTATAGCATCCATCCTATATCTTTGAAAATATTCCACCACTTTTTAACACATAATAATTACCTAATTAAATAATTTACCTGATTTTTACATGTTTCAGCATGAACTTCTCATCCTTCACTGGCGATGTTGTAGTTTGACTTTCTCCACAAATCCAACTGCTTTCATATGGCTGTAAAAGAAAATAGAATAAATTGCAGACACAAAGAAAACAGGGGGGCCCTTCCACCTGGTTTCACCAGCGCTAACATGGCCGCTCTCTGTGGTGCACGCTGGAATGCCGTGGAAGTCCATTTGAGCGCATCACTTGGCGTGGGACTGTGCGTCCGGCCGGGCTCAACCAGACTGTATGCTCTGTTTCTAATTGGCAGGCAGCAGCCTTTCAAAACTCTAAATCTTTGTTTAATCACTTTTCAAAAGGTATATAAAGACACTATTTTGGTAATGCATTTGTACTTTTGGTGAATAACGGGCACGGGACGAGAGTAGACGCACGCCGGCTAGACACAGATATTATACCCGCAAGCTGGGGGAAAAGTTTCCTCTTCATGTCATGTCTAGGCAGAATAATGACAGAGGCAGGCAAAGTGACAGAGTGAGAAACGGACAGAGCCGGAGCGAGAGATAATGAGAAGTTAAAAAAAGGCGAGCGAGACAGCGGCAAAGGGAGCGCGAAGCAGGGAAGGAAGAGCAGAGCTGGGCTCCAGCACGCAGCAGAGGACTTTCTGCTTGATCACAACCAAACTTCTAAAACGTCTAAACTCTTCAAGCCTACAGGTTGAAAAGGATGTTCTTCCAATGATGCCGAAACCATTTATATTGAGACATTTGATTGGCTACAGACAGGCCCATGTTGAAAAAAACGCATTTGTCGATCTGCTCAGACGAGTCTAAAAACCCACACACAAGCAATGCGCAAAAAAAATACAAATATGAATATAAATTGTAATTTATTTAAGTGTGCATTGAAATGTATTTGTAAATCCTTCTGTGTGTGTTTGTAAATCAAATAGATTTGTGAGTTGCTCTGTGCGCATTTGTGAATCTTTCTGTGTGCATTTGCAATTATTGAGACTGATCTGACCCCATACACATATGCTGCTGCTGCACCAAAATGACATGCACTAGATTGTGCACCATTCAGTGTATTTGTCTTTCCTTCTCTGCACCTGCCAGACAGAAATATCATCGACCACTGCAACATTTGAAATGGCATCCTATTTGTATTCAGTATAAATACATTTTTGTTTACCTGTTACATTTTGTTGTGCGATAATACATACAATGATGATCTGTCTCTTCCATGCAGTCACATGCATCGATCATTAAATAAACACTGGTGTCAGATCAGTGCTCGGGTTCAAGTGAGCGGTGTTGGTACTGAGATCTGTGCGTCTCTAATGTCCTAATCTATGAAATGTCGACACGTTGCATTATCGTAAGCAAGTGGCAATGCAATAGCAGCTTTCAGAAGAGATGTCCAACGAGGTATTATTAGCCACTACTTTCAGTTTAGCAACCTCTTCACACTCGTCTCTTTACTAAATGAAGAGCATGCTCTAGTGAAGAACACTTGAAACTAGAGATTAAGACCATATACTCATGTTTACCATAAATACTGAGGGAATAAATCAAGTTTAAAAAACTTCTGCATTGGCTTCACTCGGCAGGTCGCCCCCTGGATTCTGGTGCTCGGAAGAATTGAAACCATAACGCCGCAGTCAACACATCAGAAACGTAAGAGAATTTATCCAGGAAATAAGCAAGAATTTATGGATTACAATTCAATCAAATCTGAGACTTCATTCACTGACATTGAGAAAGTGGACGCTGCCTCGTGACCAATGGACAGATGAGTCGGACAAACACAGAGAGAGGTCCGTTCGGACCTCCGGTGGATGTTGATGTGATAGCTTTGCCCTCACCAAACAGTTTTGGCATCTCAAACTATTACGTTACCTGCGGCCTCCCTGATTGCATTCACTGCTTAACGTAGTTTAGAGTCTCCCAGATCATTCTCTTTTTTTAAGTTTTGCAGAAGATGGACGCCCATTGATTTAACATGACATGGTGATATTCACCAAAAGAGGGGAAGAAAGGTGCATTTTACTCCCAGACAAAAGCCAGCTTACACCTTGTACGCACAATTTCACTCAGCCTACACACACTACAACGTTACACTCCTATTTCCATGAACAGACCACAACAGGATTGGGAAAGTGAAGCAGTAGTGTTGTGCTATGGCAGGGAGATAAGGGTGAGACAGAGAGGGAGGGAGAGAGGACCTGCATTGCAGCACAGCTGACTGTGTTACTGTGTTACAACTTCAATGAGTTTCTTTTTGCCGAGGCGATCCGGATCTTAGAGAGAGATCTAAAACCCTCCCTCCCCCAGGAAGGAGGACGCTCGCTCACACACGCTACTGCCCCCCTTACCCACCGCTCTATCTCGTGGTCAATTATGTCTCCCCCTACGCTCTTTAAGCATTAGGGGGGGGGGTCATGATAACTGGTAAAACACTGTTACAGACAGCTGGAAGATTTGTCTAAAAAACTGCATGTGAGGATACAATGAGACAATGAGACAATGAGACAATGAGACGGCGCAATGCTGCATGTCTCCAGCATGAGGTAGAACCACAAGGCCTGTAGAAACATTATCGCTGAGAGCTTCTTCATCAAGCTCCTCCCATTTCTAAAATGGTCAAATCATAACTAATCTCTGAGAATCCAGAGCAACTTAAATGCTGCATTGCTGAGAGACGGGGAGGGAGGGCGGGAGGCAGACGGAGGGGGGGAGTTGGAGAGAAGGGCAAAGCTGTCGGGGCACTGATGCATCCAGCAAGCCAGAACTGACAAGACAGACAGAGGGACAGACAGCGGGACAGACAGAGAGACAGACAGACAGCCTATGGCTGTCAGTCAGCGCCACTGCTGCAGAGTGGTGCAGTGCTCCCCCTCCCGACTCCCGACTCCCTTTCTCTCTCTCCCCCCTTAACATCTGTCCTTCCTGTATAGCCGTCCGTCCTTTCCATCCAACTCTCTTTCTCCCCTCGTACCCTCTAAAAAAAACCCTCCTGTCCTTCACTCCTCCATATTCATATCCTTTTTGTTTCCTACCTCATCTCCGGCTCCTCTCATCTCCCCACATTTGCACCTCCTCTATTCCTTAGATCTGCTTTCATCTTGTCTGAGATTTCTTTTTCTTCCCTTTTGCTATTCTGTCTTTGTCATCTTCCGCGCTACTGTCCAAACTCCTCGTCTCCCCCTTTTGGGTTCCAACGCCGTTATATTTGGCCGCCTGTCTCATTTTTTCCTTCCCTCAATGACTGAATGTCATTTTACTTTTGCATAAAGTTGCGAGGTGGGAGGAGCTCTTTTGGGAGCACCTGGCTCCAGGACACAAACGTTTCATTCATCTTATCCATAGATTTGGGGTGACTTGTAGCTGGATAACTTCCAAGGCTTAGAGAAGACTATAACCTTCCTCAAATTAATATGTTTATTTTAATCTAATATGATTGGTTTGTGACCCCGGTTTTAGTATTAGTATTTCCCATGCCCACCCAACAGACATGTCTCGCAGTTGCAAATAGCTACTCAGAATTGAGAAAATACACTTTGTGACTTTATGTGGGTCCCATCCATTCTCCACCTAGAGCCGCTGCAACTAATGAATGTTCTCGCCCCGGACAATCTCTTTATTCTTTTTTGATCATTAGTTTAATCATTTGATCTACAAAAAAGACATAAAGTTGTTTAAAATGTGTATCAGAGATTTGAAGAGCCCAGTGTTACGTATTTAGTGAAGCTAGAACAGTGCACTCAGCAGAATGCAGATGTTGGCCAGGTGTGTACGCTCTCATTTAAAGCCATGCCGCTGTCCTTGTCCCCAGCTCGTCACTGATAAAGTGAGCAGAGAAAGTCCTCCTCCTCAATGTCATTCTTCCTTTTTCCCCTGTATTTGTTGAACTCCTCCTCTCAAAGCTCATCTCCTCTCTTCCCCACAGTACCTTCCTCTGATCTCTCTCCATCCCTCATTCCTCATTTATTCTGCTCAAAAAAACTTGTTCTTAAAATGCTCACCTTGTCCCCCCCCCCCCATCACCTTCTGCATCTCCTGTTCTTTTATTTATCCCCGCACGTCCTCCCCTCGTCTTCAGAGAGCCGCTCTCATCTCGCCTGCTGAAACCCTCTCTCCTCTCCCGGGGCAGAGATCAACCACAGCCCATTTCACACATGACAGAGAGCGCTGCATGCCAGTGATGTATGTACGCCGCTCGAGGTGGCGCTGCTGATGGGCAGCACTGGAGATTAAGGTAGTGAGCAGGGAGCTCTCTGTGTGCCTCGTTGACGGCCAACCGAGCCGACTGGGGTCCGTCTGAATTTCAATTCGTTCCTCTAAATCAACGCGTTGAGATTCCGCGTATACGTTCAGAAATATTCTCAAGCAAATGAAAAAAAAAAACAAAGGAGGGGATTCTCCTTTCGATTTGGACTGAAACACCAAAGGGAGCTATCGATTTGCTCACTCATCCCAGGCCACCAGGAGAGAGGAAATAAGGAGTCATAGAGATGCAAGAGAGAAAGTGAAAGGGTAACATTCCGTCCCTTTACAGCAGTTTGCATGTGTATGTTAGATCATACATGGCTCAACGGATCGGTTCTGCTACAGGTGTAAAAAGACACCTTTGAATCTCTGTAGTGGGAGCGAGTTCAGATGGTTGTGTTTATGTGTGTGTGTGTGGGAGACTAGATAGATAAGATAGATTAAGAGAAGATTGTGTTTTTTTGAGCGCAGATACTGTGGAAACCAGGATGGTTTCGTTCCCTGTGGCTGCGGTCCCCTCACAGCGGAGGAGTCGTCAAACCCAAGCTCATCTGAATCCTACTGAGGACATTTGGGACCGATGGCGGTATTGGACTTGTCCATCGAGAAGACATGAGACATTTAGATTACGCTTCATGGAGCCCGGATCCTTCAACCAAACTGTCTTTTGGGCTTGAAGTCGCGATAATGAAGTAGATGTAGTCAAATTCTTCAGCTCTGTCTGAAGAAAGTGGCTCTCAAACATGACTGAGAAGTTTATGTGGTAAAAGTTTGTCAGGCAGGGCAATGGTAACTGGGGGGGGGGGGGGGGGCGAGCAGATTACTGTTGGAAACTCTGAGGCA